GCGGCAGTGATAGGTGCCGGAGACCGTGGAGTTGACTGGAACTATTCCTGTGCTCTAGATACCATATGAGAAATAGAGAAGATTGGGAGAAAATATCCCTTGTGTGTTTAGCATACACATAGGGTAGTTTATTTATATTGTAAGATATGGGCCAATGCCCTTAATACAGAATAGACTAAGCCCAAATAACAGAAACACACATCTTAACATCTAACAGAATGTAATATTGACATACATGTAATACTTCTTAGTTTCAGGAGGGTAACACCGATATCCCGAACCACGCTCCTGTAAATGTTCATTGAACAATTTAACATTTTGGTCAACTGGCTTAGGGAAATTAAATTAAAAGGACAATTAGGGACAAAAGGACAGCATTGAGATTGAGGGAGGGAGACAAGGAAACATGTCTAACTCCTTTTGAGGAAGTTTTAGATCCATTTGCAAGGGTTATGAAATGAGGTTTTTCTAGAGGTATTACCAGAAATGTGATTTGAATTGCCTGAGATTGAATTTTTACCTTCTATGGATTGAGAAACGCAGGCTGTTGATGTACTTGGAGATTGAGATGACTGTGCCAAGCTATTAGACTTTAACCTTAGATATTCTTGATATTTGTCCTCGGTGAACTTATAAGTGGAAGTTTCAGTCTTCGAATTGGAAGTTTCAATCTTTGAAAAGGGAAATCATATAAGGAGTAGCAATTCTCTTGAGTGTGACCCATCCTTTTGCAGGATGTGCATTGAGAACTTCTTCGACCTCCTCATCCTCAGCGGTGGACGGCCTGTGGCGGGTGGCAGCGGGCGGTGGTGGACAGCAACACCAGACTGATGCGAGACAGAAAACTCTCTTGTGTTTAATACACACATAGGGTCATCTATTTATAATAGAATAAATATGGGTTAAACCCAAAATACAAATAAGAAATAATAACAAACTAACTAATAAAAATAAAAAATAAAGATAATATATTTAACAAATACTACTCTGGTCCGATTCTAATTCTGTCATGTACCACACTTCTAAAATCCTGAAGTTTTTCCCCTAGGATTTGATTGCATTGCATCACATAACAGGGAATATAACCTGTTCCTGTTAATCAGTTTTATCGTGTTCCATCAAGGGATTGTGTTAATATCATTATTATTTGGTCCTTGAGTTGTTTTTCTTTTTTATTACTTTTCTGTGGAGAAAACTCATCATTATATTCTATTTTATTACTTTGTTCTTTTTGAAATTTCCTGTGAATTTTTCTGAATGAGTTTTATTATGTAATGATCGAACAGATAAGAAGCTTTCCCTCCAAGGAGTTTTATGGAGACTTATTGCAAGATGGGGATGAGGTGAAATCACGGACAATACGGGCATGGCATGATTACCGCTGCTTTGGCCCCTTCTGCTTCTTTGATATACACGAGGGAAAAGAGGCTCAACCATCTGGGAGTGGTTCATGGATAAATATTGAGGAAGTTGACTTTGTTCTATTCTTGTATCAAAAACTGATTTCACTCTATCCGGCACTCAAATCTGGTAACCAAGTTGCAATTATAACACCCTATAGTCAACAAGTCAAGCTCTTCCAAAAACGTTTTGAGGAGATTTTTGGAATGTCAGCTGAGAAAGTAGTGGATATATGTACTGTTGATGGTTGCCAGGTAAACTAGCTTAGTGTTTATTGTATGATATCCTTCATGTTCATTTTGACTTTTATTGCTAATTATTTAACAGTAAATTATGCAAATACTTGAATAAGGTTTACATTGTTTACCATCTGGAATACAATAAACCTGTCATTTGCAAGATAGATTACGAATGCATAGATAGCTGGTTATGAACTGTTGCACTGCACCATAGACGAGCCTTCATTGTGTAATTTGGTTTGATTAAATTATAAATTTAAAGTTTTAAAAAACGTTAGGAATTGAAGAAATAAATCATAATTTACTCTCTTTCAGGGACGGGAAAAGGACATTGCAATATTTTCATGTGTCAGGGCAAGCAAAGATAAAGCCATAGGTTTTGTAGGAGACATCCGACGGATGAATGTTGGGATCACTAGAGCAAAGTCAGCAGTATTGGTACTATGTCTTTTTTTGTTAATGTGATGAGTTCATGGATTTCATTTGGTCCATACACCTGAATACCGATCCATTTTTGTGTTGTTGATATAGGTGGTTGGATCTGCCTCAACATTAAGGAGGAGTAAACAATGGAACAAGCTAGTGGAAAGTGCAGAGAAAAGGGACTGTTTATTCAAAGTAAGGTCATTTATAAGTAGCAACACATGAATTTGATCCGTTAAAATAAGAATTAAGAATTTTAATTGAGCCTAATTGATCATGTTCCTTTTAGTACACTCTCCATTAGTACATGTTCCTTTTATCTATAATGTCTCCATAAATATTCGTTTGTTGGTTCACCTGAATCTATGCTAATACATTCCTGGTTAGATTATGGATCCAAGAAATTTTTTCACCAAAAAAAAATGACGAACTAAACAATTTTCATCTGCAGGTTTCTCAACCATATTCATCATTCTTCAGTGATGACAGTCTAGCCTCCATGCAAAAAAAGGTGGTCGAACCATCTCAGTTGATTGGACCCACTGGTACAGTGGATAATGACGTGCAGCCTAACACTGCTGCAACCTTTGATGATCAAGCACAAGCTGAGGACAACGACGATCGCGACGTGGACATGAATGATGCGGGCTTTGATGAGGATTAGGGTTATTATTATATGCAAGTAAAATGCAGTTTTTTATTAGGCCTGTTTTTCGAACTTAGTCTCTGTTTTACCATTAAATGAAATTTTGTATGCTTTATTTCCACATGATGACAAGTTTGAGGATGAAGGCAATTTTAAAGTTACTTTATTAAGTTGTACTTTTTAAAGAAGCACTACTATTTAAGACTAACCTGGGCGCTTAGGACAATTGTTAAAATATTAAAATTGAAATTGATGGTAAGAAGCATGTCTAATAGTAAAGATTATTTCTCAATTTTAATCGGATCATTGAATAATGGAATTTAAATAACTTTATCTTTTTCTAAAGTTGAGAGGACTGTGAGTGTCTCGAGGAAAGCCAAAAATTCGGTTGATATTCTTACAAGGTAAATGTGAACCAATGGTATAACCTGAGGTCAGGTTTTATTTGCAATAAAATAATTGTTTTATCTTAAAGATTTAGCAATAGTTACAATAGTTACAAATAGTTTATTAATTAATAAAAGGTTTGATTAAGTTTTAGGTCTATCCTATAAGGTTTTTGTTATTATAAAATAATATTGTGATTAGTCTAAAATGAAGAATGATTTATATTGATCTCATTGAAAATATGTTAAATAACAAGAATAATTTCCTCAATGGTGGTGATGGAAGCAATTTCTTGATAATCCTAAACGATGTTGTGAAAGCAATTAGAAGGCATAGTAAACAATCTTATCAATATTTATGATTGGAAAACATGATGAAGAGATATGAATTGTGGTGATAGAAACAATATTTTGTTCCTTATAGATGATAATATGATGATCTCATTATCTAACATATTTTTAATGAAAGAAATAAAAGACATTTTTATTTTACATTAACTAGGATATCATTTTATATTAACAACATAAACTCATTTCTTAATATACAAAAACAAATAAATAAAATAATGAAAATAAATAACAGTCATCACATAGTTTATGAAAAATAATTAAATTATAAAAACTCAATTAATAATTTAATTTTTTTTAATATTCAATATAAACAAAATTTAATAAAGAGTTAATTATAAATACGAGGGATTTGAGTTGTGATTATGTCTTAATAGAAATACAAATCTTTAATAATAAAACATTGGGTGTTGCTCCCTCCACCACCCAAGTGCTCCTACACCTCCCCACTATTTTTTTTATTCTAAAAATACTCTACATCTCCCTACTATTTTCTTTTATTCCAAAAATACCCTACACCTTCCCACTATATTCAACCATCTTTCTCTTTCTCTCCACATTAATGGAGCATTCTCATGACTCAGATTTAAACTTATGATATATTGTAAAATTTTATTTACATTTTCCCTTAAATAAGTTTGATTCAATCTTATTTTCACTGTTCAATATATTTTTTTTCTTCATATTACTTAATAAATGGTAAAATTTTGTTCTAAATTTCTAGAAAAGTGTTTATATATATGTGTATTTTTTTTTACGTTTAATATCTATAATTTTTAACATTATATTATGTTTTAACTTACCAACATGTTTGACTCAAATAACTTGAATAAAGTATTTAATTTATTAGATAAATAATATAAAAATATTATTAAATGCTTAAAATATAAAAGAAAAGTTATTTGTTAAAGATTTTGAATTTATTTAGTTCTTTCGTCATTATAAAGTTAGTATATAATAATAATAATATATTATTTACTATTAATATTATTATGTTTATTATTTTGTATTTGCATCTAACTTTTAAGTTTATAAAATGGAAGTGGTAGAAGCACTAATATTGAAGTTTCATCTGAATTTTATATTTTACAATATATCACAAGTTTAAATCTAAGTCATATGAATGCTCCATTAATGCAGAGAGAAAAAGAGAAAGATTGTTGAGGATAGAGAGAAAGTGTAGGGTATTTTTGGAATAAAAGAAAATAGTGGGGAGGTGTAGAATATTTTTGGAATAAAAGAAAATAGTGGAGAGGTGCAGAAGCACTTGGGGTGGTGGAGGGAGCAACACCCTAAAACATTAATTAATATCCACCATACATAATATTATAATATGATTCATGATAGGAATATTATTGTATATAATAAGTAAGTACTTGCATAGGCAATTATTATGCTACAGTAGAGTTGAAAAATAAATTAATGTTTATAGTATTAGCACATGTTTTTAGTTTCATAGAGTTGCACAAGGCAAGGCTAATAAAAGCAAAAAATCAATGGTGGAGAAGGAAAAGTAAGAGGCAAGAAAGGAACAAAATAGTAACATGACAAGGAACTTTCATGCATAGGAGTTTATAAAAGAAGCAAAGTCCTTAATGCACATAAAGTGATGGAAAAGCTTCTACCACCTTTCTTCATTCTTTTGGACAAACAACTATTTATTACGTATATATTTAACTATCTTTTTTAATGCTGCAACAGTTAGTTTTGGCACAAAATGTGAATACCTACTTTCTTCATGACCAATAATTGAAATAATTTTAAACTATCAACGGTTTATTTTGAGAATGACGCGGGCAAAGAGTGAAGGAAGAAAGATTGAAAAATTATATTTAATAGGAGTAGGAAGACTTAATTATTGTTTTTTTCAAATTTAAAATGGATATCTTTATAAAAAAAATCATGATTTTGATACTTTGTAATTGAATTTTAGTCGCAATAATCTGTATATGGTAAAAGTAAGTATATTTTTTTTTATCAAATCAGTAAGTATGTTTTATTTGTTTTTTTGACAGTATGTGATGCGAATGTACTGGTAGAAAACAGGAACTTTTAAGAACAGCTTTTCACATTAATTGGAAAACCAATTTAGATTTAGAGATATAAAAAGTATTACTTCTCATATTGAAATATATATATATATATATATATATATATATATATATATATAATTCATTTTAAGATTTCAACAAATATAACGATAAATTATTTAAAAAATTAATTTTTTTTAATCAGTTATAAGTTACAATTGATCAAACAAACAAATTTTCTATAGCATATTTGTTATAGTATATCACCTTTTTAAACATTCTATTCATTTGTTGCGTTTAAAGCATAATAATGTAATGTCTAAAATTAATTAAGAATTCTTGGAACTCATAACTTATAACTTAGATAAATACAATGTAATGTAACAAACTTACGTAACAAATACAACTTATAACAACAACTTCATTACCATCTTTCATGAAATGGTCCTATAGTGATAATGGTGAGTGTATCTCTTCGCACATAATACTTATAACTTTAAATTGTGTTTGCCAAGCAATTAAACATATTTGATATATATATATATATATATATATATATATATATATATATATATATATCAAATAATAACTATATAGCTTAATTAAATTACCTACTAAAATAATTATTAAATATACTTTTTATTATCATGATTATATTGATTAATATTTTACATTTTCAGTGTAAAAGTAAATATAATTAAAAATAAGAATTAAAAAAATTGTTACAAACGGTTATAAATTTAAAAAGATTAAATATAATTTTAGTTATAAATTATGATATAAAATTGGATTTTATTCATAATACAATTTGATCCCAAACTCCAAAATTCATGTATGTTTCTATGTGACAGCATATGAAAACACACACGTAATAATGTGATTTTTTACATCATTAAATATTTAATGTTGTTTGGTAACGAAGACTATATTCATTTATTAATAAAATCTAGAAATGAAAATGATTCCAAGTTTAGGATAATATAAAATCTATTTTTTCATGAAAGATAAAAGACTTAACTCATATTAATCTTTTAAAAAACTAAAATCATTTTAATTTTTAATATATATAAAAATTAATATGCCTTATTTTTTTTAAAATAATTATCAAAATTTGTTCTAATGAACTTAACGTAAGTTTAAGGTTTAATACCCAATTTTGTTCCCAGTTTGGTTCGAAAATCTTAATTTAGTCCGTCTTTAGAAAAGTAATTGTAATGGATCCTTACTTGTAATTATGTGAGTCAAATTAGTCCCTTTCGTTAAATATAAGCAAACGGAGTTAATGGGCTGATGATGTGGTAGTAGTCATTGGTTAGGTGTCACCATGCAATTTTGTGCGTGCTTACGTGGTGTTAGGGCAGCTGATTTTAAAATTGGGTTTTAATTAGAAATTGGGATATTTAATTGGGGATAAATTGGCAGCAGTTAGGGTTTGTAATTAATTTTGTGCAATTGAATAGAAAGAAAGTTAGGGCAGCTGGAGTTGGAGTTCTTCACGTACATTGCCAACACGGAGCAGTTGTGGGTGTTGTTGTTCATGATCTTCTCATTTGTGTTGTTCTTGTTTACGGGTTGTGCTTAAGTCAGTGGTTGTTGGTGGTTCGCGGTTGGCGAGTTCTTCTTCCTTCTCAGTGGTTGTCTCGCTTTGGGGTTCGCAATGTCTTCGAATCACGGTTGTTCGTCTTGCACATGGGGGAGCTCTCGTGGTGGTTCATCCAGAGGATTGGTTGGAAGCCAAATATGCCATTGTGGGGAGGCTGTGTTGAGAGTGGCAAAAACAGTTAAGAACGAGGGGAAACAATTCTGGGGCTGCCCTAACTACAAGGTTTGTAGTTTAATGTTTGTGATAAATTATTTTTAGTTATTAATGAAAATTTTGTGATTGGATACTTTGAACAACAGAAAAGAAATGAAGAACTTCAAGGATGCAATTTCTTTAAATGGCTTAATGAAGATTACGTAGATGATGCTGCTAGTACTATTGGAAGGCAAAGGAGGAAGATTAATATAGTGCATTAGCTTCCTGTGGTTGGAAGGACACTAGATGTAGGCTTGGCCGAACCAGTATAAAAACTCAGTGTTTGATCTTTCTATCCCTACACTCTTTTATTCAGTCGACTTCTTTGTATGCAATCGACTTTGTTTCCGCTGCATTTACACGTCTTTTACCTTGCGTTTCAAGAAAGCTTTAAAGACATCACCTTTTGTGAAAAATATTTTAAAAGAACATTGTTTTTACATTTCACCAATTCACCCCCCCCCCCCTCTTGGTGTGAGAAATTGAGCCTTTGTATTTTAACATTTTGGAACACTGATTTGAATGTTTTAAATTTGGACTCTTTTATAGTTGCGCCTACGAGCTTGGATAGATACATCGTACATTGTCAATA